GTGTGTGTGAGTGAGTGAGTGTGTGTGTGTGTGTGTGTGTGTGAGCGTGAGTGTGAGCATGAGTGTGTGTGTGTGAGTGTGAGTGTGTGTGTGTGAGTGAGTGTGTGTGTGACACTAAGGCCTCTCAGGTTCCACCTCCATCATTTGTCAGGTTCTAGTTCAGTATCTTACCTGGAATCGCTGTGATACCTGTAACACACCTGACCTCTCACTGACATACAGCAGCTGAAGGAAACAGCAGCAGATCAGGGACTTCATGGGGAATTCAAGTTCAGGAACGTCTTGAGAAAACAAAAAAACAAACGAGTTTCATTTGACAGTAACCATAGAAAAGGAAAATCACAAATATGGTCTATATTTAATATCTTGATAGTTTCTACTAGACAGCAGTGAAGTCCAATAGAAAGCAAATAGACTCTTGCTTTTGTCTTCTGCTTTTCAGATTTGATCTCTCAGAGTTTCAGAAGATATCTCAAACTGTGCTTGGATTTGCCAAGATATGTGATTATGTCAGAGATCTCAATATGAACTTTATCATTAAATTCTTCCAAGAGATGAAAAGTTAAATCATCTGAGCTGCTATCCACAGTCATTTTATATGTGGACGATTGTTTAATTTGTGTATGTTGTTTAATTTTATGGAATTTTAAGAAAAACATGAGACAAAGCTAAAACTTAAATGAAATATTATTCAGAACGCAGCTATAATAGAGCAATACAATTTTATATATTATGAAATGTTTCATTTTCTATATATTTCATACACCCACAATGCTGGACACCTTTTTAGTTTTATTGGGTTTGGTAAGTATGTATATTTATTTAATCTATATTTATATGTGTGTGTGTGTGTGTGTGTGTAGTTAATAAAGGAGATAATAATAATAATAATAATTAGTATTATTATTTTATATTAAATAGTAGCAGTGTAGTGTATTTTTATAACTTGAGCAATAAAAAATGTGTGTATGCATGTTATGAAATTTCAAAACTCATATTTTAACTAACTTTAATATTTTTTGTCTTTTGCAGTGTTCAGTACTTTTTTAGTTTGATTAGGTAAGTTGGTAAGTATTTTATAATATGTTAATTTTGTATATTTATTATTATTATTATTATTATTATTATTATTCTTTGATAATGTGAGCAATACATTTGTACAGAAGCATGTTATGAAATTTCACAAAGTCATATTTGTGACTAACTTTTATATATTTTTTTTCTTACATACATTTTTATTTATTTTTATATTTTATTATTTTTATATTATTATTGTTGTTGTTTTTTGGTCTTGAAAAAGACCTTAAAAGCTACTGTTAATTACATTTTAATTAAACATTACCACAAGCTATTTCGTGCTTCCATTTTTTTTTCCATATTTATATTTAGAAGCCACCTAATGGTCGAATTTGAAAATGGCAGCCGTGGGCATGTTTGTTTTAACATTTCATGAATCACCAGTTTCCTTCGAGCTGTTTATCAGATTCTCCAGGAGCAGGTGAACCAGTCTGATGACATAATATCATTACCATTTTTTCTTGTCTGTAAATACTTGTCATCTGGATCTTCCGGTCTCATTTGAGAAACACCACAGTGAAGGAGAGCTGCGTTACATCTGTGTCTGATCCTTCGTCGTTTTGTCCTGGCACTCGACCATCATGTCTTACACGGCCGGCTCTTACATGGCCAAACCCTACGCAGACAAATCCTATGGGGGCAGCGTGTATACGGGATATCCGGATGAGAAATCTGCGAAAGACGTGTACGAGGAACAGCTGAAGCGCGAGAAGAGAAAGAGACGGGAATCTATCTGCTGTGAGCTGGTTGCGCTGATCATCGGCTTCTTCGGACTGATCGGCGTCGCCTCCGTCACAGGCCTCCCGATGTGGAAGGTCACCGCGTTCATCGAGGAGAACATCATCGTGATGGAGACGCGTTGGGAGGGATTGTGGATGAACTGCTACCGGCAAGCCAACATCCGTATGCAATGCAAAGTCTACGATTCTCTGCTGTTTCTCCCGGCCGACCTCCAGGCCGCCAGGGGTCTCATGTGCTCCTCCGTCGCTTTGACCACCTTCGCCTGCATCTTGTCGGCCGTAGGCATGCGCTGCACCCGTCTGGTAGACTCCCGTCCTAGAACCAAGCACATTGTTTTGGTGAGCGGAGGGTGTTTGTTTTTGGCTGGCTGCTTGACCACCATCATTCCTGTGTCGTGGACGGCTCATGTGATCATCCAGGACTTCTACAACCCGTTGTTAATCGACGCCCAACGTAGAGAGCTCGGAGAGGCCTTGTACATCGGATGGGTCACTTCAGCTATGCTCTTTAGCGCTGGGGTGATTCTGCTTTGTCGACATGCACCACGGACCCAGGACAAAGAAGACTTGGCTGCTGTTCTGTATCGGGCCGGATCGGCCCCGTATAACTACTCCTACAGGCCTGGATATGGATATCAGCCTGCGAATAACTATCAGCCAGCCTATTCTCCTGTCCAGTCAGTTTATAACCCTCCAAGATACTGAGGCACACAGTGAGTGCTGTGCTTTACCACTTCTATAGAGACTCCAATAAAAAAGTTGAGTTGGGAGCGATCTGCATCAAGATTCAGAAGAAAGCAGGACTGATGGAGCCTCAGTTGATTATATGTGACTGTATATGTGAATATTAGTTTTTACATGCTTGATTTGAATGCGTTTCCTCATTTCAAAAGACTTATTTGTTTTGTTGGTAATTTGCACAGAAATAATATGCAATATGTACTAAAATTTAAAATATATTATAATATATATATATATAAATATAAGGATATTTCCACGCAGCATTTAACTGTGGATCCGTGACTTAATGTTGGCTCTGTGATATGATTGTGTTTGTTTTCCACTTTGTCCATTTTTAAAGCACTGGTTTGACTTTAATTGTATTAAATAAATGTGTAAAAAGAACTGTGGATGTACTAGTTCCTGGTCTGTAGTCTTAAAATAGTCCCTTCCTGGATTCGACAACATCATTTTGTTGTTTTTTAGCCCAGTGTTTGCGACACTGGTCGAACCAGTTCAGGTGGTTTTTCAGTGTATGGTTCTCTTCTGTTGCTCCACAACCTTAAAACGTCACACCCCTAATGCAAATTTACCAGCAGACATGAGCGACAATGACTGTGTGTTTGTGTGACCAAAAGAGATGTGTGTATATGTGATCTAAGATAATGTAAGATGTAAATGGAAAAACTGTCAATGCAGCAAAACAATATTATGATCCAAATTCTCATCTCATCATGAAATTTAACTAAATACCAAAAGTTTATGGTTACTGTGAGCCATCTTATAGAGAATAGAAAATTGATTTTTACACTGTCTGAAGAAAATGTGAGCAGTGCTTAATAGTACAAAGGTTGCTAGGGTGTTGCTATATAGTTGCTAAGAAGTTCTGAGTGGTTTTTATCATGTTGCTATGTGCTTGCTAGGATGTTCTGCATAAGAACTGAATTGCAAGATGCTAAAAACTCAGCATTAAATGAAATAGCAAAAATACATATAGGTTTCTAAGATGTTGCTATGCAGCTGCTAAGGTGTTCTGAGTGGTTGCTATGAAGTTGTTAAGACCCTAGAAACCTCATAGCAACATGTTAAAAGCCACTCTGAACACATTAGCAGCTGCATAGCAACACCCTAGCAATCACATAGTAACAGTCTAAAAAAACAAATTAGAACTCCTTAGCAGATGCAGAGCAACATTCTAAAAAATTATAAGAACCCTTTAGCAGCTGCAGAGCAACACCCTAGCAACCACATAGTAACATTCTAAAAAAAATTAGAACCCCTTAGCAGATGCAGAGCAACATTCTAAAAACTAATCAGAACTTATCAGCTGCATAGCAACCACACAGTAACATTCTATAAACCACTCACAACCCCTTAGCAGCTGCATAGCAACACCCTAGCAACCGCATAGTAACATTCTGTAAACCACTCACGACCCCTTAGCAGCTGCATAGCAACCATACAGCAACATGCTAAAAGACACTCAGCATTAAATGGAACTACAAAAATGCTTTACTGTACAAAGGTTGCTAGGGTGTTGCTATGCAGCTGCTAAGGGGTTCTAAGTGGTTTATAGGATGTTACTACGCGCTTACTAGGGTGTTGCTATGTAGCTGCTAAGCGGTTCTGAGTAGTTTTTAGAATGTTGCTATGCAGCTGCCAAGGGATTGTGAGTGGTTTATAGAATGTTACTATGCGGTTGCTAGGGTGATGCTATGCAGCTGCTAAGGGGATCTGTGTGGTTTTTAGAATGTCACTGTGTATCGGTTAAGGGGTTCTAAATGTTTTTTTAAGAGGTTATTGTGCAATTGCTTATGTTCTGAGTGGTACTTAGCAGGTCGCTATGTGGTTGCTTTCTGTGGTTCCCATAGAAAACCACATAGCTACATGCAAACAACCACTCAGCATCAAACGGAATTGTAAAAAAATCACAAAATTCTGTTTGATGTCTCTAGCGGTGCAGAAATGACACGCTTTACCTTTAACTAAACGTAAAACATCAACGTTAAGCCATCAGCTGACTTCACAAATGTTTTTCTGAACATATCAGACAGCAATTTAATGAGCCGCAACACCAGTGGTGTTAAACATTGACAGCAGTCCAGAGTTGTGGTGTGTTTGCTTGTATCAGTAACCCCTTCAGCTGCATTTCCTCACTTAACAGGATCTCCGCCAGAAAACGAAGCCTGCTGAGCAAACATCAACACGGCTACGAGCTCCTCCTCCTCCCCCAGTAACACAAAACCAGACACAAACACTCGCAGGGGGGGTTTGATTTCATAGCAACCAGCCCTGGCCCTCCCTCTCCTGAGAAAGAGGGCGGAGGCTGGGAACAGGTGAACACCTATCAGCTCCCATTCCAGCGGGATGCAAAACCTCAAAGTCAAAACCAGTCCTCACTCTTCAGGCTTCTGGAATCATGGCGAACGGCGCCCTGGAGATCGTGGGAATGTGCGTGAGCCTGATCGGCCTCATCGGGGTGGCGGCCAGCACTGGGATGCCGATGTGGCGGGTGACGGCATTCATCGGGGAGAACATCATTGTGATGGAGACCCGGTACGAGGGCTTGTGGATGAACTGCTTCCGGCAGGCCAACATTCGGATGCAGTGTAAGGTGTACGACTCCTTGCTGGCACTGTCCCCGGACCTCCAGGCCGCCCGGGGGCTCATGTGCTGCTCCGTGGCGTTGACCGGGCTGGGTCTACTAATTTCCATCGCTGGGATGAAGTGCACGGCATGCATCCAAGGAAACGACCGCGCCAAGCGGATGGTTCTAATCATCGCTGGCTGCATGATCCTAGTGGGCTGCTTCTGCTGCCTCATCCCTGTCTCCTGGACTGGACATGCCATCATCCAGGACTTCTACAACCCTTTGCTCATCGATGCCCAGCGTAGAGAACTCGGGGAGGCATTGTACATCGGTTGGGTGTCTTCTGCCTTCTTATTCGCTGGCGGGTGCATATTCACCTGCTGCAGCGGCTCCCTGGACAAGGGCCCAGATCCGAGGTACAAGTACACCAGGAACGCACCCTACGTGGCATATCAGCCGCAGCCCTTGGCCTACCACCCCCAGCCACACTCGGTGTACAGCCACCCGTCCGGGCCACCGTCGTTCATTGAGCAGTCATACCAACCATCCAGACAGCAGTCATTCATTCAGCCTTCCAGACAGCAGTCATTCGTACAGCCGTCCCGACATCTATCCACCCGCAGCGCCGTGGCTTATCTCTGAGATCCAGCTGGATGTTTCACGGGCTTGTGTATTTGCGTTTGTGTGTGTGTGTGTTAGAGAGAGATGGTAAGGACGGACTTCTAACCAAAAGGTTTAAAAAATATTTGGAAAAAATGTACATGTAAATTAGTTCTAAAAAAGTAGTAATTTCTACTTTTGCTTTTTAAATATCTAAATAGAAGCCGATGACAGATGCAAAGGACTGACTTCTAATCAAAGCTTTTTTTTTAAATGAGGGAAAAATACTATTTGGAAACGTTTAAAAGGATTTAAATGTGACCCGTTTCATTCTTGGGAATGTTTTTGACAGAATTTTAATACCATTTGCACTTTTAAATGTCTAAGTAGGAGCAGATGAGAGATGGAAAGGACAGACTTCTAACCAGAGGTTTTACAAAAAGAACATTTGAACAGATGTAACAAATTTAGGCCTATATTTCTTTTTTTTTTAAATCTAAATATACGTTTTAATTTTTCATATATTTTTTTAATTTAAATATTGTTTCTACTTCACTTTTTTTAATCTAAGAAGGATAGGAGCAGGTGAGAGATTTGACGAGTTTTTAAAAAATAAAAACATTTGAAAAATTTGCAACATTTCAACGGTTTTAAATGTAGCAGTTAGTCATACATTTCATTTCATTTTTTTTCTCCCCCAGTTCATTCTTTGGAATGTTTTTAACAACATTTAAATGTTGTTTCTACTTTGGCTTTTTAAATATCTAAGTAGGAGCGGATATGAGATGGAAAGGACAGACTTCTAACCAAAGATTTTTCAAAAAAGAAAAAAGAATATTTGAAAAACACTGTAACATTTAAACAGTTTTAAATGCAACAAAGTTCCACTACATTCCATTTTTTCCCGTTTCATTTTTTGGAAGGTTTTTGACTACATTTAAATGCCGTTTCTACTTTTTTAAGTAGATATATTTTTTAATATGCAAGTAAGAGAACCTTGAGAACTAACTGAGATGAAAAATTGTTTTAAAGATTTTTTTTGTTGTTGTTTCATGTGATTCATTGTAAAGTACAGTTCATACCTCAGGACATTGTAAAGTATGCTACTTGAGGTATTTTGTATTACCTGAAAGCCGTCTAAAATAGAAACTAGGGAAAAAGTGTTTAATATTCAGATATTATGTTTTTATGTAAATATCAAAGCACAAAACAATGATTTAAACCAATAAACAAGTGAAATATCCTTAATGATAAGATATTTGCTATTCCTCCTCATATCTTTCTGCATTTACAGGTAGTTTTCAAAGACTGTGTTCTGGTTTCTGCTGTCTATTTGCACAGTAATAGTTCTCAGAAGAAATATCTTCATCTCTATGCTTCAGAGGACGTGTTTTCTCAAAAAGTCATGAGGTCTGAGTTACAGGCAGGTGCTGAATTTGGTGGTTTAGTTCAGCTCAGTGCGTTCAAGATCTTTATGCCCTGTGGCTTCAGATAAACAGAAAGCCACAGTGAAACGTAAGACGCCTATTGTCTCTGACACACCCAGAGAATGAGTCACACAAGAGCTGCTTGTTAGTATAGTAGTGCTACAACAGCACCAGGAAACGGATCAGAACTATCTGCTATTCAGCTGGGAAAAGGGAGAAATACACACCCACACATGAAAACTGAACAAGCTGCTTTAAATTTTTTAACCGCATACTTTTAGACAGACTAAGGTGTGAGACTTTCACTGGGATCTATGTTATAATGTTTTTTTTTTTAAATCAGAAATATGACATACTGAATGTATAAAAATATTAGTGGAAGACCAGCGATAAAAAAAAATATGTTTAAATAAATGTTTGTCTTACACAGCAA